GTTCTTTTGGACACTTTTCAATATTTAGTCTTACAGACTATTTTTATTAATTGTCCAGTCTGTAAGTCTGGCTATACAGAACTTTTTACTTTTCACCCAGGAAAACAGTTGGCTAAGACTAAGCAAAATATGCAGCAATACAGTAATCTACTCATAAAAATCAAGAAACTTTTATTTCCCTCATCTTAAGCTACAATTTCCATTCTTATTTAAAACATCCAAATGTTTTTATCTGATTAAAGTCTACAGTTTGTTGTTGTTTATTGTTCTGATTGGCTTTCTGATTGTATTTTGTCTGGTGATGACTAAATTTCAAATGTTCTTAAAGGATCATTTAAAAATGAATTTTAAGTGCTTTTATTTTACTATTCTTAATTAACATTCAAAATATTGCTTATAATTTACATGATATTTGGATAGGTGGAGGTATTTTCATTTAGCAATTATCAAAAATGTATGGTTCTTTAAAAACAACGTTGACTACCTTATATTAAACCTGGTGATGGGAAGAGAATTTCATTGAAGTTGTATTACAGTCATACCTTGGCTACAACTATATTTATTTTGTTACTTTAGTCCAAGCTAACCTTTTCTGTGCTTTTTTTCTTATCCTATATGAAATTCAGTGTCTTATTTCTGTATTACATTCTAGTGTTACTATACTATTATTTTGTTTAAATATATTGAAAAGTTTTCCTTTCCCTTTGATAGTTATATATTTGCATTTTGAGATTAAAGCACAAATTTATATTTTCATACAGGTATGTTTTTGATTCTTTGAACAGTGAAACCTCCTTTTTAAATTATGATCTAAATGACAAACGACTAGATGTTTCAACTTAAGATATAAAACAGTTGTATTTTACCTATAAAAATGTTTAAGTCACCAAACTTCAAAAACTTATGGCCTGTTCAATTATCAACTCTTTTATTATTTAACTACACGGACTCTGAGTGTGAGTGACACACTTCTTTTACTATGATCATCAGATGAATTTCTCCAGGAGGTAAGTGCCATCTTCCTGTTCAAACTGCAGACAATGCTTGGTCCAGAATTTTCCAATTGCCATTTATGTGGTTGGGGCTCTTAAAACATAGCCGACATACGAAATGTGTCCTCCCCCCCCCTCCCCCCCCCCCCCACACACAACACTCTCAGTTATCAAGTCGGGGGCAATATCTGGATGTTTTCCACCAAACCCCTTAGAAGTTCAACCTAACTTATGGAAAGTTATTGTTGGCCTGTACATTCAGCAGATAAATTTTAAAAAGAAAAAAGAAGGAGAATGGGATTGTCCTTTTTTCTGACTGTCCCGTTCCCCAGTTCCCCAGTCTCTTCATTCTAATGTGTCCCTTTCAAGTCCCTCCACCAACACAAGGGAAGCCTGGGTAGTGAGTGTGTGTGTAACTCACAGCAGAGGCAAGAGTGGGGGCAGGGAAATCTCCTGAGGCCCTGCTTACTAATGTAATTCCATAAATCAGCTAATGGGAGAGAAACCAGATCTGTGTGGTCCCTAATGCTGTCCCACAGAGATCAATCATGTCACCTGAACAATGTTCAGGGCCTAGGAGGCTGGGGCTGCCCATGGGACAGTTTTATCCCTTGAGCTATACATATCAGGTTGGGATATTTTTAAAAAGTTAGTGTCAGAAACAGAATTGCTGTGAATACAAAAACTGAAAGATTACCCTTGTATGACACAAAGTGCTATTATGCAACTTATCATAATATAAAATCACGTTTCTTAAAGTATCTGGGACTATGGATCATTTAGGATCCAAGTTTTTAACACGTTTTGTCGCATAAGGGGGATACCGCATTTGTAATAACTGCTTTAAATAATTAATGATGGATGATTTTTAAATATAGTAGCCGACTAAATGAATGGTGTTATGTGCAAATATATAGTGCACAATATCATAGAAAAATTAAATTAGTCTTGTGTGCATTGTTATCATATGAAATATATTAAGGGGGTGATTTAATAGGCCTATTTCTGAGGCATTAGGATGCTCTTAACATGAGACTAGGCAGAAAATGTGGAAATAAATAAAGCAGTTTTGAAAAGAATGCTAGGTGGGAGGCTTTAAAAAATGTGGGCAAGAGTCCTAAAACAACCATGTGAGTGTATCTTCATTTCAGTTTACTCACCCAGAAAATCTGAGTATGTCTCCAATCTTTGGGATGAGAATAAGTCAAATATAAGAATTGCACAGGAGGTTTGAAGGGATAAATAAGAATATAAGTAATGATTAGATCCACATATTTATTGGAGTCCGTAATTTAAAGCCAACAAATAGTAACTACTGAACTTACTCCTGAAATCCACAGGTAGCATCCATAATAAACCCCCAAATCACCATTCTCAGCTAGGGTGTCTATCCAATCTCTAAAACATCTCCACAGATGATGAGAACTTACAGGGCGCAAATGAAAGAGGGAAGCAGGACAGTAGGAGGACTCTGGACCAACCCACAACCACTGCTGCAGCTTTGGTTCAGCCATGTGAGCCCTGCCGCTCTGACATGTGGCCAGCAGGTTTCCTCGAACCCTAACTCTGTGGTTACACGTGTTTAAGGCACTCATGCCACCATTGCTTTTTATTAATGACCTAGATAGAATCTTAGTCAAGTAAACAAACACACCCAAAACCTCACAACTTCTTTTTCTTTCTTTTTGACAAAGAACATCTCACTAATAATCTTAGCCTTGAGCCATGACCCATTCTCTGGTGGGATGAGTAGTATATAGTTAGGAGAACTTCTTCAGAGTTCTACAAAGAGAGAAATGTGTTTCCCCTCCCACTCGCACCCCACCTTCTGAAGAGCAACAGAACTTTTAAGCCCTTGGAATTTAAAAAAATAAGAAAAAGCAATACTATCGAATAATATGTGTTTGAAATGCCTAAGGTATCACAAGATTGTGGGAAAACTATCAAAAGGAAATTTATGAAATGTGTTTAGACAGATAAATCAGCATAGAAACTAGTACAGAAAACCTATTGGAACTCACATTAAGCTCCTTCAGAGTGGTTCTTTACTAATTGAACCAGAATTATTCATTGGTCCTATGAATTACATACCCTAAATCGGTATGTAGGCAGCACCATGTAGGGTCTAGCTAAAGACGAGGCCTACTAGCAACACCAAATCTATAATTCTAGACAGTATCACAATTCAAAAGGAAAAATAAAAGACAGGTAATAGTTATCAACCAGGTATTCACAGGAAATTTCAGGATGAACTGAATTTTCATTTCCCATGGGCCTTGGAAACCTAGAGAAGTTACAATAAATCGATCTAGAAAAGAGAACTGAAAAGCTAAAAACTAATTTTTGCGGCCTAAGAAAAGACATGGAGCTGCATTTTAATCATTGTAATTATCTTTGCTAGCAGAGTTGCCAAATAACATGTAATAAACTGCTCTGGAGTAAAGTCAAACTTTCAACAAAGAGATGAGTACTCATATAAAGAGGAATATATACAACATTTTGATGGAACCGATCACAATCAATAATGCTATCAATATATACTGATTATTTTTGGAATCCCAAAGTATTTTTTTGCTTTACTTTATATTAATAATTTTTTGTTGAAAAATCTGTACCTTATTTGTGTTCAAACTGCAAAAAAGATCTCCAAATCTTATCTTTTATTCTCTTAAAGACCCGTCCTTTGTGGATAAAACTCCTTTAAGCAGCATTTTTTAAAAGAACATGTAGGTGCCCTTCTGATGATAACTTGTGAGAGCCACTATCACCCTACAAACCAGCCCACAGAATACTCCCAAATGCTAAATCTACCACCTGTGGTCTCATATTCATATGATCATCTAGCCATCTACTCTGTGAAATTTATCAAGAATCCAATTATGATTATGTGCCCACATTTCTTTGCTAAAAACACTACCAAAACCATTTACCTGTGGTTTTCCATTTCCGCTCTTTTTGTTTGGTCAAGTTACCATTGATATGTTTCCACCAAACACATCAATCTTTGTATTGAACATAATTAAAAGTCTAATTTAACATTTTTAGTGATCATCAGGACATTGTCTCTTGTAAGGACATATAGGAAAAGGAAACTGTTATAGACCACATAAGGTATCAACCAAAACTGTGCTTGTGTATAGAACAATTCTGTGACCACAAAATGGTTACTTTGTCCAATGCAGAGCCCAAAGCATGTATCTTTTGGTAACTGAGTTCTTTCTGAAACTATGTAAAACAATTCTTAAATAAAATTAGGATCACTTGTATTAATGAACTAATTGTATTCCTTTATTCTAAATCAACATCTCTTTAAAAACTGCAGGTGGCATTCAGCTTTCCATACTATTTCTGATTTCTCAAAAAAAAAAATACTAGATCTGTAGAAAATAAAATGGGAAACATGTTGAAGAGAAAAACTATTCTGGAAGCTGGTAGAAAATCCCCTTTAGAATCCAAGTATTTCAGCTTCCATGATTCGTGTGTGTGTGTGTGTGTGTGTGTGTGTGTGTGTGTGTGTGTGTGTGTTTCAATGGGCACATAGGCTTGTGTGCCACAAACTGGGTCCTCACTGTTATAATTGGGCCACTAGTAAGCCTCTCTTAGCCAATAAAAGTATATAGAATGTGATGTGTCCAATCCTTTGGGCTGAGATGCTTTCAAAAATAATTAGAAGGGGAGGGGGTATTTTAACCACCAAGGAAAATGTTTTACCATCCTGAATGTGAAACTTCTGATTTTTCAAACCAATTACATTAGGTTTCCCCCAGAGATAAAAAGGAGGGACGCCCTTCCCATCTGGAGGGCGGTTCCACAGGAAGTGCAGCTGGGGAGGCGGTGGAGACGCTGTGCCCTCCGCACACCACCTACAATGGCATCTCACAGCCTGAATGAAGCATCGGGAAAGGGGTACTGCATCTTGAAGCCAGACAAGAAGCCCTGAAGGGGAGAGGAGAGGGGAGAAAGGAGAGAGGGGGGTAGACTGGGAAACAAGAAATCATCTCCTCTGACCTCTAGCGAAGTGCCAGGTTTTTTCTTTAGCTCTTCACATTTTCTAAATTTGCAGATCTGGTGTCCCGTTTTGCGGTTCCTGCAACTGCTGCAGACGCCACAGTTGATGAGCCTCTTGCAGGGCACGCAGACCCCACACCTTTTCCTCTTCTTCTTGGCCGGGTTGGCTCCGCCAGCTCCCCCCGAGGAGGACGAGGAGGAGGAGGAGTGATTCTGCGGGCAGTCTGCCAGATTGGCAATTTGAAACGCACTGTCTGTGACGGCTGCTGAGGCTGCTGCGGGGGAGTGAAGGGCTGTCATGACGATGACCCCTGGAGGTAATGAGATGCCCCCTAAAGCCGGGATAGCGGAAAAAGTCCCCACGCGCTCGGGGAGATTCATTATCTCTGCTTCAGCAGCGCCGCATTTGAGCTTGTTCATGCATTCCCCCGCCAAAGGTCTGCAGTGTTCGGGGGATAAGGTGGAGAGGAAATTAGTATTTGCCATTTGCAACGACGGCTCTGGCGGGCAGCCAGCTTTCCCCAGCCTCTGGGAGTCGTTTCGGTGGTGCATGCTGGTCCTGCTGCCGCCGCCGCCGCCGCCGCCGCCGCCGCCGCCGCCGCCGCCGCCGCCGCCACCACCACCGCCGCCGCCGCCGCCGGCGGGGAGGATCGCCGAGGAGGAGGCGGAGGAGGAGGCGGCGGCGGAGGAGGATTTCCTGCCGCCCCCGCCTCCCCCGCCGCCGCCCCCGCCGCCGCCGCCCCCGCCGCCGCCCCCGCCCCCGCCGCTGCCCCAGAGCATGGCGGTGGCGGCGGCGGCGGTGGCCGCGTTGTCGCAGTTCCAGGGGGACATGCCGATGCGCGCGGCGGCCGCGGCGGCGGCGGCGCTGCTGGGGAAGATGGGGGTGGTGATGCGCGCGATCTTGGCCGCCTGCGGGAAGGCGCCCCCGTTGGTCTTGTAGAAGGAGGTGGCGAAGGAGCGGTAGCGCTCCATCTCCGAGTTGTAATCCACAAGGCTGTTCAGGGCCCCCTCGGGCAGGTGGCTCTCCTTGGGCAAGCCCGGGGCCTCCGGGCTCGGCCCGGGCTCCACGCAGACATTGGTGTTCATGGTGCAGGGGGGGAAGAAGGGGTGCAGGGTGGAAGTGGGGACCGCCTGGTCCGACACCGGGGTGGGAAAGGGGGAGAGGTGAGGGGGAGGGAAGGGGGTGATGGTGGTGTCGGGGTGGGGGTCGAGGCGGGAGGGGAAGGCGGGTCCGGGTGGGGAGAGCAAGGTGAGGACTGCTTTATTCCTCTCTGGGGCGCATTTCCACAGACGGTGAATTCCCAGGCAGCGTCTTCCTTTGCATTATCCTCCAACTGTTACAACTAAAATAAAGAAAGTCATTCCAACGAGCTGCACGAGGAAAAAGATTAAAAATAAATAAACAGCCTCCCTCACTATTCCGCCACAGACACCGAAAGCTCCCACATTCTCCGTCAGGTCGTTTGCATAACAATCATCAAGACATGACCCCCCCCAACCCCACCCCCGCTTCCCAACCGCGCTCTCTCCCTCCCTCCCTCCCTCCCTCCCTCCCTCCAGCACACCACAGCTCCTCCCCGCTATTCTTATAACCCTCCTGAGAAAATGTATTAATAGCCTAGATACCCAAGGAAAGGGGAGAGACGGGGGTGACAAATGCCGAGGGAAAAGGGCAATTGGAGTGCTAAAGACATGCAAATCAGGGGTGGGAGGGCGATACTACCTAGAAGCAGAGGGCATTTAAACATTATGAAATGTGTGAACAAGTGCTGCCTGGGCATGCAAATGCTGTAAAGTAGAAAACAGCAATGGCTCTACGAGGAAAACGAACAGGAAATTAGCAAATGAAGTACGGAGAAAGTCTACAATACAGCCGAGTATAAACTGTAAGCAAACACAATACAACTGAGAGCTAGGAGGCTGCCCACATACAATCTGAACTAAAGAGGCAGGGGGGAAAGAACTACCAGCTGCCACAGTGTCCTTCTGTGTCTGCGGTCATTAGTTTGAATCCCAGCACAGCTGGCTCTGTTAGGGTCTTAATTCAAAGGACCAAGGACAGGTCTCAATTGTACAAGCCATTTGGTGGTGGGGCTTGGTGGGGGTAAGAGGGTGGTGTTCTACTTGTTTCAAAGAAAGAAAAGAAAGATGGACTCGATTAAAAAAAATTTTTTTAAGTAACACAAATAATGTCACAGGTTTTAAACCAAGTGCCTGCAGCCTCCATAAGAATATTTCCAATAATTCCTAATGGAGGTTCCTATCTCTTCCCAAGAAGAAAGCATGGGACTTTAAAAAAAAATTTTTTTTAAATCTCTCACAGTCACTGGTTTTTACATTAAGTAAATTGGGGAAGAGGGATGTCTCTTAAGGTGTTGTTTACCTGAAAAAATAACCATCAAAATTATGTTTTTCTTTTGCTCCTTTTAAGGGGAAAGTTTAATGTTAACTGGATATTTGCATTCATCTCTTTGCTTACAAACCATTATTTTGCTTTAGGAAGAGGTATTTTAGTTGTTTATTCCAAAGGGAGAGGTACACCACAGCCCTTTAAGAAGAAAAGCAAAGACATAAAATGTATATTAACCTAAAAATCCAGTTTCTTTGTTTCCAGATTATTATTTTTTTAGGCCAGAATATCTTTTTGTGACATCTTTTGAAGCCCACATATTGGTCTAGAATGTGGAGTTTAGGGAATTCTAAATGGGGCCCAGTAGTCTCAGGCTCATACATTCAGTTCAAAATGCATATCAATTATAGTAATTATGCTTATAATTAGATTAATGAACCATTTCTGCCCAAACTCCAAGTGCAAAAACTTCAAGACCTGCTGATGAGGTGCCCTAAAAAGAGGGGTTTATGTAAACAAATCCCTATTAGGCAAAGTAAATCAAGATAAGGAACCTCACCCCAGGCTGGATTAGAAGCTAGCAGGCATCTTTCAATCACAGCAAGTCCCTAATCACTCAGGAACCACCTCTGTGGTTTCGCATTAGGAAAAACTGCTCCCTTCAGAGCTCTCATGGCAATACAAAGGGTACCCCAAAATGCTCCTGGCTAAATATTCTTGATGCCTGGAAGGGGGTGGGGGAAGACACAGCAAGAATATGCATATAGCTTCAGTTCCTGTGAATCACATTATAACTCCAAGACCATAATAACTGCTACTCAGTAAAAACTAGTTATGCCAACCATGCATTAGATAGCATCACATTGAGTGGGGGGAACATTTGCAACCTTTTAGTCTTTGCGACCTTGTTCCACATAAAGACATAATTTAATAGCCTTTATTTTCCAGAGTATTAGAGTGGTGTTTCCAAACAGAAGCTTCCCTTGCTTTTCTTATTGCCATCACCTCCCCCTTCCTCCCTCAAGGTTTAATGCCACCAGAAACTGTAGAAAAGGACTGTGCCCAGGATCCAGGTCATTATTGTTTAATCAATGCCTCGCTGGAGCATGAACAAGGTACCTAAACCGCAGCTATTGTTTGGATTTTCTTTAAAAAAGCAAAATAAAGCACACAGATAACTCTAGTCCTATTCCAAAGCTACATTAGACATCCACACTTCATGAGCCTGTTTTGCCTTCAAACAATGTGACTGTACATGTCTAATATTGTACGTCTGGTCTAGCAGAGACATAGAGATCAAAGGTCATATTTAACATTCAGGAGGAGGGGCGGGTGCAGATTAATTAATAAATTAATACAGCGACGCCTTTTATAGCTGGAGTCCAGCATTAATAATCTACTTTTACAATCCCAACGGACAGCACACATTTAAGAGAGAGAGGAGAGAGAGAGAGAGAAAAAAAAAAAAAAAAAAAAAAAAAGCCAGAGAAAGAGAAAGAACAATCACTTACCAGTCTCTTTTTATTTGGGGAGCCTTAGAATTTGCAGACGCTGCCAGTCTGCCTTTAATTAGTTGCACATCACCCCTAACACAAAGAAACACAAATCCAGATGTGTCTTGGCAGCTCCCAATTACAACTTTAATACTTGTAAACAAACTGTTGGGGAGGGGGGATAAATAAATATGCGGATCAAAAAAAAAAAATACCTGTAAATGGCTTTTTTTTTTCTTGTTGCAGAGAGCAGGAGGAGGAGATGGTGTTAGTGGTGGGGGTGGAAGGAGGAGGAGGCGGGGGGAGAGGAAAGAGCGGAGTGTGCGTGTATGTGTGAGAGCGCGGGCTGTTCTCGGTGGTCTCTCCTCTCCCAGCGCGTTGCTCTCCGTCCGTCTCCAGTCGCTGTGTGCGAGGGAGGGAGGGAGCCCGGGAGTCTCTCCTCGCGCTCTCTCTCTCCTCTCTCTCTCACCCTGCCCCCCCCCCCTTCTCTCTCTGTTTGTGTGTGTGTGTGCGTGTGCGTGTGTGGTTGCTGGGGGAGGGGAGCGCGGAGAGGAGGCGGGGGCAGGGGCGGGGGCGCTGGGCGCGGAGGTGAGGAGGCGCGGGGACGCGGACACCCCCCGATGATTGGCTGCGAATTACACGGGGAACAAGAGGCGCACGCGGCCGCGCTCCCCGCACAAATCCTCCCCGCGGCCGCCCCGCCACGTTTCCTGGCTCGCCCGCCGCTCCGCCGCCCGCCCTCCCTCCGCGCCGGCCCGGGCTCCGCCGCCAGCACACAGGGCTGTTGATTATTTTCCTTTGCTGTCGGAGATAATTGTGCGGAGGGGCTGGGGGAGGGCGTGCCCGCCCCCTCGGGCGTGGGGAGCGTGTGTGCGGGTGCGGGTGCGGGTGCGGGTGCGTGTGTGTAAATAAACTTGCCGGGCTTTGCTGGCTGCGGGGGGTGGAGAGGCGCGAGAAACAGAGGGGAGGTCGTGTTTGAAGAATGCTCTTAGCACCTTAGCCCGTGGCTTTTAAGTAATTTTCTGGTGCACCCAGAAGACTTTTACAAAAGAGTATCATTCAGGATTTTAAAGTAAGGGAAAACGGACCGGTGTTCTAGAAGGTCTTTTTTGAATATTATTGTACCAGAATCCAGAAAAAAAAAATGGTGATGTGATGCTTGACCGTCTCAAAATCAATCTCAATCTTTCTTCTCTCTCCCTTTCCACACCGCCCCTCTCTCTCTCTCTCTCTCTCTCTCTCTCTCTCTCTCTCTCTCTCTCTCCCTCCCCCCTCTTTCCCCCCTCCCACCCCTTTCCACTCTCCCTTCCAGCCCTCTTCTTTTGCTATTCCATATGATTAAATATGATTTTTAACTTACTGCCCCTTTTTTAAAATTCCAAACTTTACTTAAACAAAAACTACTTCTACATTAATCTACTTTATACTAGTATGACTTCTTGACACTTGAGAAACGTAGTTTATTAATTGAAAGATAAATCTTTTTACCACAGGTCAACTATAAATAAAACTCATAAATGCAGCTATGCATTAACTTCTTCACTGCCGACTTAAAGAAAAAGATATTCTGGATGCATGCTATTCTGCTATTGAAATAAAGCATGCTCTTGTGGAAATCCTTATGCAGTAAGATATAAAAATATGAATTTTTCATACATTTTGATAATATCAAATGTTAATGATACGTTTTTTAGCTAATGATAAGCTACAGACGTAGGAAAGGAAAAACTTCAGATTGTTAGAAATGGCATTATAAAGCAGAGTAAAAGTTTTGTATTAAAATTAAAGCTCTATATTCTAAAATAATGCAGTAGTATAGTTTCAGAGAAGAAAGCAAATTTCATAATAAGTTGTTTCTTTTATAATAACAAAATGCTGAAAAGACATTTTATACCATTTTGTATTTGAATTATCCAAAGGTTGACCTTGACCATGTCAAGATTCTGCCAACTATAGAGGATTGATTATTGATAAGATGTTCAGAACTGTGGTGTGCAGCAATGCAGGTGCTATTTCAAGAGTGGGCCACAATGGTAATAGGGGACATATTGTTTGTGGCTCAATGATTAAGATGCATGTGTTGTCACTTTTTAAACATAGAATAAGTTTGGTTATAAAATCAATCAAACCTCATATTTGGCATTTATAGACAAAAATAACTGGTGCTTCGTAATTAAGTTCATTAATAACTTTTTATACTTTTTAATGCCTTGTAAAAGCAAGGAAATACATTTCCCATTTGAAATTTTTTTGAGCTAAGCATCACAGAAAATTTA